TATGTAAAATAGGTTTAAATAACCTTAAGAAATAGAACAACTATAGATCACCTTTGGACATTTAGTCACACACAGTATGATGTCTGTCTGTAAGTGACATTAATACAGACACAGCTGCCAGACTGCAGGCAGGAGTCACTTATACAGGCCTTCTCTCAAAGACGGAGGGATTACGCCTTATAAATTAGCATTCAAATTAATTGAAATTAACATCCATAATGAGTTGTTGATAACTCTAAACTAGGGAAGGGGGGGGGGAATAAAACAAAATAATAAATATTAAAAGCTAAATAAATATTAGCTTTCAATGATCCTGAAACTATTCCAAAGGAAAGCTCAATTATATCTTGCATGGTATGCAACAATAGCTGAGTCAAAAGAAATTTGTATTTCTGAGTTACTATGAATTGCTATGTTATCTTTTGAATGAAAATGTTTAAAATCACATTCTTTTAAGAAAAGCTGTAAACACAGATAATACATCAAACAGAGCCAGAATAAATACCAATAAAATTCTAATCAACATTGAAGGGGCGTTAGATTCTACTTTTGACATGACACACCAGTTAGAAATACCTATTGCTATTCAAGGAGGGTCTGAGGAAGGAAACACTGAATATTACAGGCATTTAATGGAAGTGATCAATAGCTATGTTTTAAGGGAAAACACAGTTAAAATTTCACACCAGAACTAAATACTAAATTAGATTTGGGTTGAAAACTGAGGTAATATTTGGTATCATTTTCATTATATGAATTTAGTAATTTTATAGGAAGAAAAACCAGATGTTTGTAATGTGTTAAAATATTATTTTAAATAGGAATTAAGGGATTTTATTTTTTGTCCCCTAAGAAATACCGAGCTAAAGTTCTCTTGATTGCGTTTGACTCTCTCAATCTCTGGAGTGATAGGTGTTGGGGTTCCTTTCCCCAAATTTTCTTTGTACAAAACCTGTGAGATACAAGAAAGTACCCAGAAGACATTCAAAACAAGCACAAAGATTAAAGAAGGGAGAAATTTAAAGGCAGGGGTGTGTGTGAGGGGACAGTTTTTTTAGTGAATAATATTTAGTAAGAATAATGCTTTTACTTTTTACTTCACAATTTCAATGAGCTCTACAATGTGAATTCTGGGAATGAAAAAATACAATGGAAAGCATTGAGTTATAGGATATGAGCAAAATGATGAGGAATCTTGTGTTAATTTTACTAACAGTATTTCACATCTAAGTCCTCACACTTGTCAGTCACTGAAAGTGTTAAAGTACCATCAGAAAAGTGAGTCACTTTGTATACATAAGTCCAGATGGTTTTGGTCAGGTAATAATACACATAAACACACACAAACACACACACAGACACACAGAATTGTTGTTAAGACGTTACTTTTTTAAAAAGGATGATGGGTTATTCTGGTAATTTTTTTAATGGGAAATGGAGTTTCTTATTTATTATTTATAAATACCGAGCTAAAGTTCTCTTGATTGCGTTTGACCCTCTCAATCTCAGGAGTGACAGTGGTTGGAATGCCTGTTCCCAAGTTTTCTTTGTACATAACCTGTAGGAGATAATTAGAATACCCAAAAAGGTAAAATGACCACACATTCTTTGGATTACAGCTACATGTGTGCTATTTGGTGGAAACTCATAACAACAATCTCGCTTTCAAACATTACACTCAAGGAAGAAAGGTAGGCAATTCTACAAATATTTATGTTCTCTTTTCAAAAGTTGTAATTTTTACTACTTTGAAAATTGGGCACTAAATCATGCATTTTCAATGGTAAACACTTAGTACATTCCTAAAATGCATTAAACGGTAGTAACAAGCTCAACAATGAGAAAAATCTCTCCATTTTATAACATCTAATATTAGTGTCTTCAATATAGTAGCTCCACAATAAATCTGTTGTATGTAAAATAGGTTGCTTGGTTTCAAATTTTCTAATCACGTGATACTCTATTCCTTCAGAGTTATTGAGAGTTTTCTGTTTGTCCCGTATTTTCTACTGAAAATTCCTTGCTGGCCCTTCATCTGTCAGTACGCTTGATGTGAGTAGACAAATACAGTAAAACCTTGGATTGCGAGTAACTTGGTTTGCGAGTGTTCCGCAAGACGAGCAAACATTTCTAATACATTTTAACGTGGTAAACGAGAGATGTCTTGCAATACGTGTAGTTTGTTTCCAAAACAAATCATGCTCACAAACCAAGATTTTACTGTCGTTTACTTTTTCAGGAAGAGCATCTTTCCCTGAAATTTTTACTGGTGATTGATGGATCATACAAATTGGTGTTTTTCTAACTGAGGGAGGTCCCTATTTGCTAGGGGTAGTATCAGAGAACTGTACAATTTAATGAAGAGTGAAGAACTTCCTGAACCTCTAGGCTCTTTTCCTCTGAATGTTAAGCATTTTCAGGCTAAAAGAATAAATGTACTCTTTTTAAGTGGATGGATTCTATGGTGTACTAGAGCCTGGGATGGGAGCACCACGAAAAACATAAGAATTTGTGTCACAGATGAATTCCTGAAGTCCCTGTCACTGAAGTCAAACTAGTGTTGACATCTTTGTTTTGCTAGGAAACTTTTAAGGATCATTAAAACATCTACTGTCTTTGTACAAACTTGTGTTTCTTTACCCAGCAAGGCAGCAGAACTGATCGTGAACAGCACAACAAAATAAAATCAGAGAAAGACAGGAACTTGCAATCAAAGGCGACAAAAAAGCTAAGGGCCCGTTTTCGTGGATTAGTGGACACAAAACTGTAAATGAAGTTTGTATCACCAGGAAGCCAAAGGGTGGGCAGGGAGTGAAAAGGGAATGAGGTCTAAGTGGTATGAATGACATACAAGACTAATAACAAGTGTTTTCTAGTGGAAATTAAATGAAGAGTTCAGGCCTTCAGGGGCCAGGAGAATCTCAAAGAATAAGGCCTTCAGCTTTTATTGGCCATAAACTATTTCCCAAACTTCACACAGTCTCTTGCTAATAACCAGCCATTGCTTAGTGTGGGTGTGTGTGCGCACACTCATATACATACTGGGAAAGGGGTCCCTTCCCCAGTATGGGTTAGCTGGCAGAGGATCAGGGGAAATATGTACTTAGCCTGATTATTCAGGTGTGGAGGACAACCCCCCTCTCCACCACACACACACACACACACACACACCACTGAGAACAGGTGCCTGAAATTCCTGTTAGAAGATTAATAGATAATATACTCTTGTGGGTACGTGACAACCAGCACCTTAAACATGCACTACATTTACCAGGAAAGAGCGGACGATACAAGGCAAGAAATCTTGAAAGGGAGGGGAGGAGGCTGCTGAGACATCACAAGCCTACCTAGGGTCTTCTGGATGCTAAAGAATGTCCTGAGATATACACACCTGCATTTTATCTATCATTTATCTATCTATCTATCTATCTATCTATCTATCTATCTATCTATCTATCTACCTACCTATCTATCATCTATCTATCTTATATAAAGAGATATAATAGATGATAGATAATAGATAGATAGATAGATATGGATATATAAAATTTTATTTTATATTACTTCTATGTTTATATAACATATGCTTTTGGTTGACTAACTTGAGATCGTCCCAATACCCTTATTACTGCTGTTGGCATATTTTACTTTAGAAACTGTAGGTGTGATGATTCATCAAGAAGCCAAGTAAGTCCCTTCTGCTCCTTGATTTTGTGAAGACAGAGGCATCTTACACACTTTTGCAACGTGCAGTGCCCCTCTCAGGACCGAGGGAGGGTTCACACAATCCCCAAGGCATGGGAAGTCCTGAGTAGCGGGAAGAAGGGGTGAAATCCTAGAGCTAGGTAGCCACTGGGCGGGGGCTGGCTGCACAAATGCATGCTGAGCATATGGGCTACTACCGAGCTAATGTGCTTCTGCGTCTCCTTGACACGTTTCACTTCCGGCAGGTCAGGGATTGGGGTTCCTTGTCCAATTGCTTCCTTATACTTCACCTGCAGATATAAAAAGGGGAACATGTGTTTAATTAGTAGTACCACAATTTTTGAAATCACAATTAAATAGCACAAGCTGTATATTTACTTTGAATGGGGCCACATTCTGATATTGGGTCAGAGGAGAACAAAGCCAAGAACAAGGACAGTTGATCTCTCTCTGTCTATTTGGGGGCGGGGGTCCACACTTCAGTTGCAGCCCCTGTCTGTCCTCTGTACTCCAGTGTTTTTATATTCAGCAGCTCATTTGACAAAGACAGATACATTGACATACATATACCCAGGAAAGTTGATTCTTTGATCTAACATACGCATTCCACTTTCTTACAGGTGACAAAGAGTCTCCCCTTGACCAAACTTTAGTCAGGCTCCTCTGAATCCTCCTCCCAACTAGGCCTCGATTTTTGGACTTTAGTGTCCATCTTTGCATCACCCAGTTTTAGCAAGAATCCTGTTAAGTCAGCTTTGCCAGAATGCCCCACCCTCTATATCTCATCAGCCTTGATATCTGACCAAATTCCTCATCTCCCACCATCCCCAAAGTGAAGTCTGATCAGATCACCCTTCCTTCAGCAAGAATCCTGTGAAGTGGGCTTAACCACATGCCCCCTTACCTTTGATGTTTTCTCTGAGTAATTTTAAATCCACTAACCCTCTCCCCACTCACCCCAGCCCCCATCCTCAGCTATAAATTCTCCCTTTTTTTGGTTGTATTTGAAATTGAGTCTGATTCTATACTGAGATCCCATTTCTCCTATATTGCAATAGTCCTGAATAAAATGTTTCTTTTTTCACCACTTTAACCACCATCCAGGCTTGGTTTGCTCTGCCACAGGCCTTTCGGTTTTCCATAACTAACCTCTCCTCGGCACTGACTACGTCACGGCACTGCACTAACTATGAGATGACCCTAAACACAGACAACAATTGTAGCAACTTAAGCTGCTTTCAGTGACAAATGTTTTGAGTGCAGCTCAGGGATCAGTGTAAAGTATCAAAAGGAGGCAGAAAATATTGAAAGTGAGTCCATGGGGGATTTGAGGGGGTGTCTTTACCGAGCTAATGTGGTCCTGCGTTTGCTTCACTCTCATCATCTCAGGTGTCTTTCCAATTGCTGTTCCTGGTGAGAGGTCCTCTTTGTATAAAACCTGGACACATTCAGAATCAGGACAGTGTTACACAGAACAAAGACAAACCCAGCAATTCCTGGAGAAAGACTAGGAAACATGGCTTCTGTGAAAACAAGACACTAGAGAATGTTCTTAGGCAAGTGCTGGAGGATGGGACGTCTTCCATGTCAGCATCCGTAACTCAAACACACAACATGGGTCACTTTCCAAATTTTGAGATTTCTTTTAAGATTATTATACTGTATTAATACAGAATGAGAAAAAGTCAGAAAATGTTGATTTAAAAAAACCACACTTATACAAAACACATTATAAAAATCCATTAAAGAAATTGTGAAGTCAGTTATTTTGGGGGAGGAATAATAAAATAAATCACAACATCAAAAAGAAAATCCATTTTCCTGGAGCAAGACAACACGTTACTGCTTGGGATTTAAAATTTTTAAAGAAAGAAAAGTTACTTTGTTAGCAGATTTAAGCTGTTATTCAAATGGCCTCTGGAGTGACTATTTTAAAGCAAAGTATGGGGAATTTTAACAAATAATGGCTATTATTAACTGGGGAGGTTAGATGTTAATTGTTTGAATCAACATGAGGCTAGTATATTTTTAAAGAGGAGAATGGAATTATTAGGTTAGCATTAAATGGAAAATAAATAATAAATATACCGAGCTGAAATTCTTTTGATTTTCTTTAACACGCAGTATTTCTGGCGTGTCTTGAACAACTGTAATTTTTCCTTTACTGTTTTTAAGGTCACACTGGTATTGGAGCTATGAAGAAAGAGTAAACATCTTGTTAAGATTTCAACATTGTTTTATAAATTTTTAATTCTAGACTGTGTGAAGGAGGTTAAAATCCTATATTTTTAAAAAAATGTCTATGCCCCAGTAATCACAGTTTATAGCCAAAGAGAAATTGTTTAATAAGAATTTTGTGAACAAACTAATGTTTTATAACCCTAAAACTTGTAATGTGTTAAATTAGGTTTTTTAAAAAATGTATCCCTTGCCTAGAATTAACTTTGAAAAAGACAGAGTTGCCACTAATAGAAAAATGGGATAGTTCATATTCAGTGACAGGAAGCCACCGACAAAGAGACAGAGGGTCTTTGGTGCTATGATTTGGGATTGAAATCTGAGGTGAGCCTGGAGAAGAAGGGTGCACTCATTTCGAGTGTGGAGGGTGGGAGTTGCGGGGGGCTGCTCCATGGCCCCACTGCAGATGGGGTACCAAGGTATGTGTGCCCAGAGGCAGCCTCCTCGCCCTGCCTCATCCGAGGTACCAGTGGGCTGTGTCGTCGACTCATACAAACTTACAAGGCTGAAGTTCTTTTGGTTCTCCCGAACTCTCTGCATCTCTGGGGTGTCCAAAACCGTTTCATAATATGACATGCCTTTCTCTGCATCTTCCTTGTACTTTTTCTGGGAATAGATTCCAAAAATCAGGATGGTGAACACCACAGGGATATGGACCAATGGGACCTAAAATGGCCCTTTCTGCTCAGCAGAGGGAAAGGCCTTTGCATTTCCTTGACTGTTGAAGGATGTTAGGGAGTTGTAAAGCAAAACCCTCTTGGTGAGTGAGTATTATGCCTTTTCCTTCCTGGAGAACTGAGCCCAGGTGTTTAATAGGACCCACTTTCATGACAAAGCTGGAAGAGGGAGGCATTTGTTGGCTATTACATGTGAGGGAGGTGACAGCCAGTGAGGCTCCTGGCAGGGAGGGAGATGGGAATGCCCACAGTAAACTGGATGAAGCCAGACTACTCAATATGCAGGTGGAGAGACGTAGGAGGGTTAAGAGCCATCAATAAGGCCTCCCGAAAGTCACCTCTAGCTGGTGACAGGACAGTTTTGCTGAGCCTTGAGCAGGTGTGGTTGGGGCTGTTGACGACAGGAATGAACAGGCTGGAAGACCCAGCAGACTTTTCCAGTACACAGCTCTGACATTGCAGGAACTGGCCTTGCAGGACTGGAGGCTCTACGAAACCGACCTGGGGCCACCACCACGACAAACTGACCAACCAACTGGCCACGGACCGCTCTGAGCCCGCCATCACTTTTCTTGGGCTCCAACCCCTGCCTAGGCTTTGGCTGGAGAGGCTGCCCACAGGGGCTGCTTTTTAGCCAAACACCTACGTAGTCAATTCCCCTGGACTAAACTAATCATCGACTAAACTAACAATCTCCAGTTTTAAAAAAGTGGAACACTTTGCCTTAGAGCCTAATTTTTCTTTTATTGCTTGTCACCAGGTCCTTCCACTTTTCTCTCTAGCTTATTTAGCTCTGGTTTCTGCCACTTTTAGAGGAAGTTTTTGTGCATAGGGTGGAGGGCTGAGGAAAGAGTCTAGCCACTTTTGTAGTGGGATAAAATGATTCTATGCCTCTTTATCTAAATCATATTATATACAAATTACATTTATAAGTGTTGAAAAACCTAATCTACTCAAAGAGAATAAGAATCGGTTTCAACCAATAAGAGATTTTAGCTTGGATTTTATTCATCTAACAGGAAGCTAGTTAAAGCAAAGATTTCCAGAAGGAAAGAGCAGTTCACCAGAAACAAATGTTTTCCTTGGGGGGGTGAGTCACCCGAATGACTCTTCTTAGTTATGTATCAGGCAAAGAGTTCTCATTGTTTTGGGAAAGGATAGAACCAGTACTCCTTTTCTGTTTTAAAAAAAAAATTTTTTTTAAAAAGATTAAGCAAAAGCTGTTTTAACTGGTTTATAGACTTAGTGCTAGTCATGAAGAGGGGCAATCAGTTTGGAGGTTTCCTGAGAAGGAGGGCCTCCCAGTCTTCCTGGCATGAAGGAGTGTTCAGAATATGATCCTGACTTTATGGGTGAGCTCACACTGCTTGCATTGACCCCCAAGTGTGAGGTTTAGAAGTTATAAAATACAAACTCGCCAGTGGAAACCGAGAAGCAACTTTGTGGAAATCACAAGCACCTTTCCATCACTCAGGTAAACACTGCTATGAACTGGGAAGGAGGTAACCTGCCTGGCCATATTTTAGGCCTTGGGGAACTAGCCCAGGAGAGGCCTAGGACAGCACACAACAGCAGAATAAGTGAATTAATCCTTCCCTGGAAAAGGTCTACATGCTGAGGTTTTCCTTAAAGGTCAATAATGTCAAAAGGCAGAAGGCTATTTGGCTGGTGAGCTTTTCACAGCTCCAGCAAGGTTGTTGGCCTTCCCGGTTCTCCCAACGAACACAACATGGTACAACGAACACACTCTGGGGCTCATATAATTTTGGTAATAAAATTTTTCCCAAACTGTCACCCCTCAAATAAAAGGTTCATTTCTCACATTTGAATATATCTGCTTCCTAATTATGCCACTCTCTGGTGATAACTATATTTTTCATGTCTAACTTTATGATATTAAATTATATGTTGCTCATGCAGGGTTCAAATTCATGATTCCTCTAACATGACTGTCATTAAGAGGTCATCTGTGAAGATTAAAAACAAACAAAAAAGAAATAAAACAGATTTCCAGGGCCTACATCAGACTTACTAGGCCAGGAAAACCTACATTCCCAGGTGCTTATCTACTGCTTTAGAACTCTCTGATCAGAAAACAAGCAAAAATTCTAACTTGGTACTACTGAAACAAATTGCAGATTCCTGATATCGTTAAGAATTAAAACAAGTGAGGCACATCCTGGTGTATGAACGACAGCTGACATTTCTTTGCCTCTCTATTTCTGAGACAATGGAGAGTTAGTTATTTACCATGGGAGGGATTCATTAGATTGTGTGGTTAGTGTTGATGTCATAATCTCAATCTCATTAAACAAATTAATAATCCAACCATATAATTTTATATCATAAAGTTAAACATGTGGACTGTCTACTTTGTTTCTTTTAGACTGAACACAATTCTTTTTTTGAACAATTTTTTTTTTNCATATGGAAGAAAATAATTAAAAATAATTTTGAAAATTAATGCAAACTTTTCCAAAAGAAGGGATAATAATAATAATAATAATAATAATAACCCACAGGGAAAACAATAAATATAACATTCCAAATGTAATATTAATTTATATTGAAAATTTAACAAATTGAAAGATTGTTAATGACTAGTAATTAAAAACAAAGGAAAACAATACTAGTAATTAAAAACAAAACAAAAAGACAGTGGGACCAAAGAAAGTTACTGATCTAATTATTGAAAGAATCAAAATTTAAGAAAATATTTAACTGACAATTAAAAATATTTTGGGTCAAACTTCCCCCAAGTACTCCCCCGCTTGTCCCTACAAGAAAATCCAGCTAAGTTTTCCTAATGACATTTGATTACATCTGATTCAGATTTTAGATCTGAATCTAAGCTCCTTAGATAGAAGTTTCACAGGCTCTTTGAGGATTATAGAGGTTTTCAGCAATTATATTAACACAAGAGAAAATAACATTAAATATAAGCTTATGATCTGATTTGTGTATTTTAAGATTTCTGTTCATGGAGTGGCTTGTTTAGGACAAGTTTCAAGATGAGATTGCTTTGGGTCCCGATAGCAAGCTATTTTCTTTCCCAGTATTGCTGTTTATCCAGATAGGATCTATGTTAAGGGAACCCGTGTTCCAAGCAAGAGCCACTATTTCTACCTGTGGCCTCCACCTTGTGTCTCTTCTTGCAATGCTAAACCAGAAATATCGAATGAAAAAAAACAGTTCCAAATAAATAAGAGCTACAGTATTTGGGGTTTTTGTGGGACATCAATTAACTTCAAAAGTCCCAATAGTAACATAAAAGGTGAAACAAGAAGAAAAGGAACCAATTAAAAGTTTTAAGGGACTATTATAGAGAGTATAAAACGTTAGAATCAAATGGTGGTTAAAGATCTGGAATACAGGATTCAGTTGATGAGATTTTAAAACAAGGATGTGTTAAATTGATTATTTAAAAGGGACTCATAGGGAGAAGTTTTGTTTTATAGAAAGTTGTTATTTTAATATGGAGTTAAAGGAGCTTTCTTCTAGATACCGAGCTAAAGTTTTCTTGATTGTGTTTGACTCGCTCCATCTCAGGAGTGACAGGTAGAGGGGTCCCCTTGCTCAAATTCTCTTTGTACCAAATCTGTGTGCACAAAACCAACAATCAAATCAGCCTGGGCCCATCTTTCAGGTAAACTTAGCCTTTAAAACAATCTCTAAAATTATCTTTCTTTGTTTTCATAATTATGTAAAATAGGTTTAAATAACCTTAAGAAATAGAACAACTATAGATCACCTTTGGACATTTAGTCACACACAGTATGATGTCTGTCTGTAAGT